TAGCCCGGGGAATTTCTTATTAAGCCCGTCCGGGTTTAAAGGGAGAGGGGTCCCCACTCCTTTGGGGGAAACTGGGGCAAGGCTCGTGACCTCTTTTAGGCTCCGTGTCCCGGATTGTCTGTGCCCTGAGTAATTCCACCTTTGTTAAACCACACTGTTACCCCCACACCACATTGTAACCCCTAGTTACAAACCAAAAACCAACCCCATTCATGGGGTTAGTTAGAACAAAAGTCCTGTGTGTTTTTCCATGTACTGCAACTTTTTTTGCCATCCCATAACCCCGTCTCTCACTAAATTTACGTCTCCTCTCTCCTCACAACCCGTCCTCCTCAAACCCCGTTTTACCGGTAACCCCTATTAACCCCGTCTCTCCCTTAAACCCCTTCTCCTCCTAACCCCGTCTCTTTCCAAACCCGCCTCCCTCCACTCCGTCCCCTCCCTCACAACCCGTTTCCTCCATAACCGGGGTTTCTCACAACACCCTCCCTTCGCCCCCCTCCCACTACCCTCTCATCTCCTCATAACAACCCCCTCCCCATAAACACCCCTTTTACAACCCCGTTCCCACCCCCCCTTCCCTCATACCAACCCCTTTTCCATCCCCCCCTAACCCCGTCTCCCTGTTCACACCCACCCGTTCCCCCAAACCCCTAACACCCGTTCCCCCTTTTAACCCCCGTTCCCCCACCCTGTTCCAACCCTGTCACCCACCCACCCTTCTGGTTTTTTAACAAACGCTGTCTTTGATTTCCCTGTACTCAACTGTTCTCCCTCACCTAACCCCGTCCTCCCCTCACTAACCCCCTCCCCTACAAACCCCTCTCTCCCTCCCCCCTCTCTCTCCCTCTCCCCCTCTCTCCCCTTCCCCCTCTTTTACCTCAACAAACCCCCCCGTTTTCCCCTCACTAACCCCTCCCTCACTAAACCCTCCTCCCTCACAACCCCCTCGCTCCCTCACAAACCCCCTCCCCCCACTAACCCCCTCTCTCCCACTAACCCCTCTCTCCCCTCACTACCCCTCCTCCTCCCTAACCCGCTACCCTCACTACCCCCTCTCTCCACCCACACCCCTCTTTTCCCTCACAACCCCTCTCTCGCTAAACCCCAAACCCCTCTCTCGTAACCAACCCCTTCTCGCAAAATAACCCCTCTCTCGCTAACTAAACCCCTCTCTCCCTCTACCCCCCCCCCCTCCTCCTCACTAACCCCCCCTCTCCCTCACTAACCCCTGCTCTCCCTCACTAACCCCCTCTCTCCCTAAACCCCCTCTCTCCCTAAAACCCCCTCTCTCCCCCCTCCCACTAACCCCCGCCCCCCTCACTAACCCCCTCCCCCTCACAAACCCCCCCGTCTCCCCCCCCCCCACTACCCCCTCCCACTAACCCCCTCTCCTACCTCACTAACCCCCTTCCCCCCTCACTAACCCCCTCCCCCTCCTAAACCCCGCTCCTCACCCCCCTCCCCCTAACAACCCCTTCTCCCCCCCCTCCACTAACCCCCCCCCCTCCTAACCCCCCCCCCTCAACTAACCCCTCTCCCCAACAAACCCCCTCTCCCCCTACAAACCCCCTGCTCCCCTAACCCCTCTCTCCAACCCCTCTCCCCCTCACTAACCCCCCTCCCCCCCTCTCTCCCCCTCTCTCTCCCTACTAACCCCCTCTCTCCCTCATAACCCTTCCCCCCACAACCCCCTCCCCCCCTCACTGACCCCTCTCCTACAAACCCCGTCTCCCCCTCACTAACCCTCTCCTCCTCACAAACCCCCTCTCCCCCTCCTAACCCCGTCTCCCCCTCACAAACCCCCCTCCCCCCTAACCCCGTCTCCCCTCACTAACCCCGTCTCCCCCTTTCCTCTCCCCTCTCCCTCACTAACCCCGTCTCCCCTCACAACCCATCTCCCCCTCACTAACCCTTTTTCTCCCTCACTAACCCCGTCTCCCCCTCACTAACCCCGTCTCCTCCCTCACTAACCCCCGTCTCCCCCCAATAACCCCCAAACCCTCTCCCCCCCCTTCCTTCCCCTTCTTCCCTACAACCCCTTCCCCTAACCCCGTCTCCCCCTCCAACCCCCCCAACCCCTTTCTTCCCTCACCTCCCCTCTCTCTCCTCCCTCACTAACCCCCCTCTCCCTCCCTCACTAACCCATCTCCCCTCACTAACCCCCTCTCTCCTCACTAACCCCCCTCTCCCCTCAAAACCCCCCCCCTTCTCTCCCCTCCCCAATAACCCCCTCCCCACTAACCCCCTCTCTCCCTCACTAACCCCCTCTCTCCCTCACTAACCCCCTCTCTCCCTCACTAACCCCCTCTCTCCCTCACTAACCCCCTCTCTCCCTCACTAACCCCTTCTCTCCTTCACTAACCCCCTCTCTCCTCACTACCCCCTCTCCTCCCCTCACTAACCCCCCCCCTCCCTCACACCCCCTCTCTCCCTCCCTAACCCCCTCTCCCCCTCCCCCCCCTCCCTAACCCCGTCTTTCCCTCTCTCCCTCCTTTCTCTCCTTCTCCCCCTCTCTCTCCCTCACTAACACCCCTGCTCTCCCTTCTCCCCCTCCCTCCTAACCCTGTCTCTCCCTCTCTCCCTCCCCTAACCCTGTCCCCCTCCCCCCTCTCTCCCCCCCCACTAACCCCTTTTCCTCTCTCCCTCACTAACCCCCTCCTCTTCCCTCACAAACCCCTGTCTCTCCCCTCCCTCACTAACCCTGTCTCCTCCCCCTCACTAACCCTTCTCCCCTCCTAACCTTCCTCCTCCTCCTGCTCCCCTCACAAACCCTCTTCTCCCCCCTTTAACCCTGTCTCTCCCTCACTAACCCTGTCTCTCCCTCACTAACCCTGTCTCTCCCTCACTAACCCTGTCTCTCCCTCACTAACCCTCTCTCTCCCTCCCTCGCTCCCTCACTAACCCTCTCTCCTCTCTCTCCCTCTCTTTTCATTCTTTCAGCCATCTGACAGACAAGTCCTCCAAGTGGGATCCGTCCGGTCGGGGGGGCAGAGGGGAGGGTTCCCACGATAACGGGAACGGGTCCCACGGTAACGGGAGCGGGTCCAACATTCCATCGCTGTTGTCGATGGCGACACGGAGTCACATGGACATAACCACACCCCCTCTGCCTCAAGTCAGCGCTGAGGTGTTGAGGGTAGCAGAACACAGACATCGCAGAGGACTGATGTACCCAGAGATATACCACATACTGACCAAGGTACCACAGACACAGAGGATTGATATACCCAGAGATATACCACATACTGACCAAGGTACCACAGACACAGAGGATTGATATACCCAGAGATATACCACATACTGACCAAGGTACCACAGACACAGAGGACTGATTAACCAGAGATAACCACATACTGACCAAGGTAAACCCCAGACACAGAGGATTGATTTTACCCAGAGATATACCACAACTGACCAATACCACAGACACCAGAGGACTGGTAACCAAGAAACCCATACTGACCAAATACCCCCAAAAACGAGGATGATTACCAAAATATACCCTACTGACCAGGGACCACAGACCAGAGGACTATGTACCCAAGATTACCACATACTGACCAATACCCAGACCGAGGACTGATGTACCCCAAAAATAAACCACATCTGACCAAGGTACCACAGACCGAGGTTGTAAACCCAAAATAAAACCCATACTGACCAGTACCCCAACACGGGACTATGTCCCAGAGATATACCCATACTACCAAGGGACCAAAAACAAGGGCTGTGTCCAAGATTCCCATCTGACCAATACCACAGACACAGAGGACTGATGTACCAAGATAACCCTACTGACCAAGGGACCACGACCAGATGATGACCCAGAGATAAATACACCAATAAAAAATGACCCAAATTCCCAAGAAAAAAACAGAGGACTGAAAAGTTACCCAAAGAAAAAAAACACAAAAAATTTTACCCCCCCCCCCCCCCCCCAAAGGTACCACAGACACAGAGGACTGATGTACCCAGAGATATACCACATACTGACCAACGTACCACAGACACAGAGGACTGATGTACCCAGAGATATACCACATACTGACCCAAGGTACCACAGACACAGAGGACTGATGTACCCAGAGATATACCACATACTGACCAAGGTCCCACAGACACAGAGGACTGATGTACCCAGAGATATACCACATACTGACCAACGTACCACAGACACAGAGGACTGATGTACCCAGAGATATACCACATACTGACCAACATACCACAGACACAGAGGACTGATGTACCCAGAGATATACCACATACTGACCAAGGTACCACAGACACAGAGGATTGATATACCCAGAGATATACCACATACTGACCAACATACCACAGACACAGAGGACTGATGTACCCAGAGATATACCACATACTGACCAACATACCACAGACACAGAGGACTGATGTACCCAGAGATATACCACATACTGACCAAGGTACCACAGACACAGAGGACTGATGTACCCAGAGATATACCACATACTGACCAACGTACCACAGACACAGAGGATTGATATACCCAGAGATATACCACATACTGACCAAGGTACCACAGACACAGAGGACTGATGTACCCAGAGATATACCACATACTGACCAAGGTACCACAGACACAGAGGATTGATATACCCAGAGATATACCACATACTGACCAAGGTACCACAGACACAGAGGATTGATATACCCAGAGATATACCACATACTGACCAAGGTACCACAGACACAGAGGACTGATGTACCCAGAGATATACCACATACTGACCAACATACCACAGACACAGAGGACTGATGTACCCAGAGATATACCACATACTGACCAACATACCACAGACACAGAGGACTGATGTACCCAGAGATATACCACATACTGACCAAGGTACCACAGACACAGAGGACTGATGTACCCAGAGATATACCACATACTGACCAACATACCACAGACACAGAGGACTGATGTACCCAGAGATATACCACATACTGACCAAGGTACCACAGACACAGAGGATTGATATACCCAGAGATATACCACATACTGACCAACATACCACAGACACAGAGGACTGATGTACCCAGAGATATACCACATACTGACCAAGGTACCACAGACACAGAGGATTGATATACCCAGAGATATACCACATACTGACCAACGTACCACAGACACAGAGGACTGATGTACCCAGAGATATACCACATACTGACCAAGGTACCACAGACACAGAGGACTGATGTACCCAGAGATATACCACATACTGACCAACGTACCACAGACACAGAGGACTGATGTACCCAGAGATATACCACATACTGACCAACATACCACAGACACAGAGGACTGATGTACCCAGAGATATACCACATACTGACCAACATACCACAGACACAGAGGACTGATGTACCCAGAGATATACCACATACTGACCAAGGTACCACAGACACAGAGGACTGATTGCAGCATAGATACTGGAGGCTGCGTCTCTCGCATGGATAGGCAGACCATCCCATAAAAATGGATCTCTATAGGAGAAAGCCCTGCCTCCAACTGTTTGCTTAAAAATGATAGTAACAGTAAGGAGGCCTCTGTTTTGTGACCGTAGTGAACGTGTAGAAACAGTGCATTGGGAAAGTATTCAGACCCCTCAACTTTTTCCTGATTTTGTTACGTTTCAGCCTTATTCTAAAATTGATTAAATAGTTTTTTTCCCCCTCATCAATCTACACACAATACCCCATAATGACAAAGCAAAAACAGGATTGTAGAAACTTTAGCAAATGTATATAAAAAAAAAACTGAAATATCACATTTACATAAGTATTCAGACCCTTTACTCAGTACTTTGCTTGGCACACCTGTATTTAGGGAGTTTCTCCCATTCTTCTCTGCAGATCCTCTCAAGCTCTGTCAGGTTGGATGGGGAGCGTCGCTGCACAGCTATTTTCAGGTCTCTCCAGAGATGTTAGATCGGGTTCAAGTCCAGGCTCTGGCCACTCAAGGACATTCAGCGACTTGTCCCGAAGCCACCCGTGCTTTGTCTTGGCTGTGTGCTTAGGGTTGTTGTCCTGTTGGAAGGTGAACCTTCGCCCCAGTCTGAGGTCCTGAGTGCTCTGGAGCAGCTTTTCATCAAGGATCTCTCTGTACTTTGCTCTGTACATACCTCTTAGGTTGCAGGATGGGGCTTGGGGGGGTGCATTAATGGGTGTTGGGCCTGTTGCTCTGCTCACGGCCTGGGCATGGGGCTTGGGGGGGTGCATTAATGGGTGTTGGGCCTGTTGCTCTGCTCACGGCCTGGGCATGGGGCTTGGGGGGGTGCATTAATGGGTGTTGGGCCTGTTGCTCTGCTCACGGCCTGGGCATGGGGCTTGGGGGGGTGCATTAATGGGTGTTGGGGCCTGTTGCTCTGCTCACGGCCTTGGCATGGGGCTTGGGGGGGTGCATTAATGGGTGTTGGGCCTGTTGCTCTGCTCACGGCCTGGGCATGGGGCTTGGGGGGGGTGCATTAATGGGTGTTGGGCCTGTTGCTCTGCTCACGGCCTGGGCATGGGGCTTGGGGGGGTGCATTAATGGGTGTTGGGCCTGTTGCTCTGCTCACGGCCTGGGCATGGGGCTTGGGGGGGTGCATTAATGGGTGTTGGGCCTGTTGCTCTGCTCACGGCCTGGGCATGGGGCTTGGGGGGGTGCATTAATGGGTGTTGGGCCTGTTGCTCTGCTCACGGCCTGGGCATGGGGCTTGGGGGGGTGCATTAATGGGTGTTGGGCCTGTTGCTCTGCTCACGGCCTGGGCATGGGGCTTGGGGGGGTGCATTAATGGGTGTTGGGCCTGTTGCTCTGCTCACGGCCTGGGCATGGGGCTTGGGGGGGTGCATTAATGGGTGTTGGGCCTGTTGCTCTGCTCACGGCCTGGGCATGGGGCTTGGGGGGGTGCATTAATGGGTGTTGGGCCTGTTGCTCTGCTCACGGCCTGGGCATATGTGTGGCTGTCATGTTGAGGTCCTTGCTGCTGCTGCGGCGGTGGGGGGGTGGGGCGCCTATATAGGGTGTGGGGTGGTCTTAGCTGGTTGGGGTGTGGCCAGGGTTTGTGTGGGGTGGTCTTAGCTGGTTGGGGTGTGGCCAGGGTTTGTGTGGGGTGGTCTTAGCTGGTTGGGGTGTGGGCCAGGGTTTGTGTGGGGTGGTCTTAGCTGGTTGGGGTGTGGCCAGGGTTTTGTGTGGGGTGGTCTTAGCTGGTTGGGGTGTGGCCAGGGTTTGTGTGGGGTGGTCTTAGCTGGTTGGGGTGTGGCCAGGGTTTGTGTGGGGTGGTCTTAGCTGGTTGGGGTGTGGCCAGGGTTTGTGTGGGGTGGTCTTAGCTGGTTGGGGTGTGGCCAGGGTTTGTGTGGGGTGGTCTTAGCTGGTTGGGGTGTGGCCAGGGTTTGTGTGGGGTGGTCTTAGCTGGTTGGGGGTGTGGCCAGGGTTTGTGTGGGGTGGTCTTAGCTGGTTGGGGTGTGGCCAGGGTTTGTGTGGGGTGGTCTTCGCTGGTTGGGGTGTGGCCAGGGTTTGTGTGGGGTGGTCTTAGCTGGATTGGGGTGTGGCCAGGGTTTGTGTGGGGTGGTCTTAGCTGGTTGGGGTGTGGCCAGGGTTTGTGTGGGGTGGTCTTAGCTGGTTGGGGTGTGGCTGGTGATGCTGTGGTCTGGGTGTAGGTCCTCTTGGCGTGGGTTCTCTCGGTGCAGGTCCTTTGGGAGGGGGTCTTGCATGTCTGGGAGGGGGTCTCGCTGGTTTAGGTGGGGTGTCCTTTGTTCTGTTGCTCCTGTGTGAGGTGCTGGGGCTGCGGTTGAAGGTGACGTCCTTCAGGGTCCTGGCAAAGGTGAGGACTGCTGCCTTGTAGAGGTGGACCTGCTCGTAAAGGCTGTTCAAGTCCAGGGTGGAGTGGTGGGCCAGGTAGACATTAGGTTTTGAGGCACAGAGTTTAGACACTTTGTATTTGGGAAAAAGGTTATCTTGAATGTATTTGCCATTTGAGTCAATGAGGAGCACAACCTCTGGCCTTTGTGTGTCCTCAGTGGAGGTGTGGGGGTTGTCAGGAGAGCTATCGGGGGCTGACAACCCCGTCACTGCTGTTAGCTGTGCCATGTGTACCTCTCCCTCCTCCTTCACTGCTGTTAGCTGTGCCATGTGTTCCTCTCTCTCCTCCTTCACTGCTGTTAGCTGTGCCATGTGTTCCTCTCCCTCCTCCTTCACTGCTGTTAGCTGGGCCATGTGTTCCCCTCCCTCCTCCTTCACTGCTGTTAGCTGTGCCATGGTTCCTCTCTCTCCTGCCTGTCCTCCTATTCTCTCCTCCTCCACTGCTTTAGCTGTGCCATGTGTTCCTTCTCTCCTCCTTCACTGCTGTTAGCTGCGGCCATGTGTTCCTCTGCCCTCTTCCTTCACTGCTGTTGCTGGGCATGTGTTCCTATCATACTCTTCAATGTTTGTTAGCTGTGCCATTGTGTTCCTCCTCCCTCCCTCATTGGCTGTGTGTTGTGCTGGTATGTTTCAGTCCTCTGGGTATGTAGGGGGTGGTGTGTGCTGGTCTGTTTCAGTACCTCGGGAATACTGGGGGGGGGGAGGGTTTGGTGTTGAGCTGGTCTGTTTTAAGTCCTCTGGGGTGTACGGTAGGGGGTGGTGTGTGATGGTATGTTCAGTCTCTGGGGTTACTGTAGGGGGGGGGTGTGTTGTGCTGGTCTGTTCAGTCATCTGGGTTACTGTAGGGGGGGTGGTGTTGTGCTGGCTGTTTTCAGTCCTTGGGTTACTGTAGGGGGGTGGTGTTGTGCTGGTCTGTTTCAGCCCTCTGGGTACTGTTAGGGGGTGTGGTCTGTTTTCAGTCCTATGGGTAAGGTAGGGGGGGTGGTGTTGTGCTGTCTGTTTCAGTCTCTGGGTAGGTAGGGGGGGTGTGTTGTGTGGTCTGTTTCAGCCCTCTGGGTACTGTAGGGGGGGTGGTGGTCTGTTTAGCCCTCTGGGTACTGTAGCGGGGGGGGGGGGGGGTGTGGGTGTGTTGTGGCTGGTCGTTTCAGCCCTATGGGTTACTGTAGGGGGGGGTGTTGTTGTGCGGGTGTTTCAGTCCTCTGGGTACTGTAGGGGGGTGGTGTTGTGCTGGTATGTTTCAGTCCTATGGGTACTGTAGGGGGGTGGTGTGTTGTGCGTCTGTTCAGCCCCTCTGGGTACTGTAGGGGGGGGTGCTGGTCTGTTTCAGTCCTCTGGGTACTGTAGGGGGGGTGGTTTGTTGTGTGGTCTGTTTCAGTCCTTGGGTACTGTAGGGGGGGGTGGTGTTGGATGTCTGTTCAGCCTATGGGTTACTGAGGGGGGGTTGGTGAGTCTGTTTCAGCCCTCTGGGTCTGTAGGGGGGGGGGGGGGGGGTAGTTGTTGTGTCGTGGTCTGTTTACAGCCCCATATGGGTACTGTAGGGGTGGTGTGGTGTTGTGGTCGTTTCAGTCCTCTGGGTACTGTAGGGGGGGTGGTGTTGTGCTGGTCGTTTCGGCCCTCTGGGTTACTGTAGGGGGGGTGGTGTTGTGCTGTAGCTGGTCTGTTTCAGCCCTCTGGGTACTGCTAGGGGGGTGGTGTTGTGCTGGTCTGTTCAGACCTCTGGGTACTGTAGGGGGAGGTGGTGGTGCTGGCGTTCAGCCCTCGGGTACTGTAGGGGGGTAGTGTTGTTGCTGGTCGTTTCAGCCCTCTGGGTACTGTGACGTGAGGGGGGGTGGTGTCGGTTTCAGCCCTCGGGTACTGTAGGGCGGGGGGGGGGGGTTGTTGGGCTGGTCTGTTTTCAGCCCTCTGGGTACTGTAGGGGGGGGAGGGGTGGTGTTGTGAGGTCGGTTTAGCCCAATGGTACTGTAGGGGGGGTGGTTGTGTGTGCTGGTCTGTTTCAGCCCTATGGTTTACTGTATGGGGTGGTGTG